AAAGAAAAGAAAAGAAAAGGATGGTGTGAGTGATGAGTGTTAAGTCCCGGGTAAAGAAGTAGGTGGTGTGGGATAGTACAATCCACAGTCTTCAAGGAGGAAGTCAACCTTGAAAGTAGACAGGACTGAGCTGGGCAGGATAGAGAGAGAGCCAGATTCAGTGTAGGGGAATGGTGAGGCAGAAAGGTTAAAAATAGGAACGAGCACAGTATATTCTGTTTGGTGACCCTTTGGACTGACTTGGAGGGGAACAGAGGCAGATGAACTTGGAGAGCTGTTTGGGTCCACTGCATATGAACCAAACTAATACTGTGCAAGATTTGATTGTGTAGAAAATTACCTACAATAAACACAAGTCTGGCTTCAGCGGCAGGATACCCCATGTCAGTGAAGTCTACCCAAATTTGCATAGGGGGAGAGGGCGTAGCTGCATTGGAGGGGGAGGGGCATCTGGACATTTTTAATGGGGATGCTGTAGTAAAGTCGTTTATGCTGTTTTTCGCCCAGAAAGCACCCAACCAGCGTAACACAGGTAGCAGCCAGCCCTGCGTCCTCTTGCGCAAAAATTGGGGTACTTGTGCAGGAAGAGGGGACAGGGAGAGAGAGAGACAGAGAAATGTGGTTCCTCCAGCTTGGCAGAGGGTGCTTGAACTCAGCGGGAAGGTCAGACATTTGTATTGGGGACGAATAGAGGACCGCCATAACCCAGAACGGACAAAGTGTGAAATATGCATTTTTCTTTTTCATTTTATGCCATTTTATGAGACTTCTGTGTAGATGCAGCAAGCAAAGCTCTTGGCTGGAGCCCTGCAGGGTTGGCAGATTTATTACCGAATTAAAAAAAAAATGAAAACAGTTCAGCTGTCTGGCCAGGTAGAAGGAATTATCTCCACTTGAAAGAAACCAGACAAAAAGGACCGGCAGTAGCTGCATGAGGGTCCTTGCTCTGCCCAAAGCTGGGTACTCACCACAGCAGCTCCAACCAGCCGCTGATTCTTTACCAGATCCAAGTTCTCCAGATTGACTCTGGGTCCATCAATCTTAGTTTCTGTCTGACAGGGGTCAAGTTATCAGCCTCCTGTAGATTTTCACCAGCCGTGGTGGGGAGGAAGGGTGGGAAAGGGAGTCAGGCTTAAAAATCACTGCCAGTCAGGACACCTAAGGGTCTCCAGCTGGAAAAGGCACTGGAGTTCCAGACTCCCCAAGAAGGTCCCAGTCAAAGTTACCTGTCCTAGGACCTTGATCTAGGTTATTCTGTACCCAGGGCTCCCTACCACCATGGGCCACATTTTCACAAGCAAAAACACTGAGTACCAAAAATGGGCCATTATA